AGCTCTTCAGAGCCATACAGTTAATGGAAGCAAAAATGAATTTCAGCTTTGGCTCAATGTTATTGAGCAAGCCACAAAGTGCAGATGTAGTGCTCTTAAAGGAAAATGTTACTATCTGACACAGCACTCACCCTTGTAAATAAATGGTTGGTTACATAGTAGTAAAGACCATTGGTTTTATTCTTCTTTTTTGGGGAAAAGAAAAAAAGAATAAAGTAGATGTTTAGTGGTATTTTAAAAAGCATTTGGGTAGGAATCAGTATAAGTTAAGTGTAAAAATCTGGCTAAGCATAAAACAATATATACTCTAGAAATCTGACCTGTCATCCCACCTCTAAAGTTTTGACACTTTCCGAATAGAACTATTTAAATCTGTATTTTTAAAGTTAATCTCACTTTCCCAAATTTTGTGGTTGCAAAGGTTAAGGGTTTTGTTGTCATTGTTGTCGCATTTAAAGCAAGACTCCCCCAAAATCCCTTCCTAAGACATCGTGACCACTGCTGTTCAGGAGATTAAAGCTCCAGACATTTTTTTCACGTATTAAGTAAATAGTAGAAATACTTGTAGATTTTTCTGGAAACAAGTTTTCAGTGGGAGATAATGCAAACTCAATTTTTAGTATGTTGTATATTCTTTTTTCCTACTTGAAAGCATTTAGTAGGCCATGAGAATAAAGACAAGCTCTAAGTTTTCCTACAGCTTCCTGAATTTCTGGGAACAAATGCCACGGCCCAGGTGACTGCTACCTCATTTACACCATTATTAAGCAAAATAAGGCTACAGAGTGCTTCAGAAGGTGCACGCCTGGGTCTGCAGAGACCTGCAGACCGTGCAAGGACTCCACAGAGGTATCTCAGAAAGTGCTCACCAAAAGAGATTGGGTTCCCTGATCGATATTTCAGACAGGTCACTCACAGGTACTTAGGCGCAGATTGCTACTTCTAAGTTTTGCTCCATTTTTACAGCTTATAGCAGGAATCACATTCATTTTACGCACTACAGCATCCCAGAAATTCAAATGTGGAGCCTCTTTTTACCACTTCAGAGTTAAAAAAACCCCCTATCCAGCCAAGTAGAAACTTTACACCCTGTATTGGTACATAAAGGCTCAGGTTATGATCATCTCAGACACACGAAGTGGTAGGAAGGAGCTATACTAGTTATCTAGGAGACATTATTTTCACACCTCATGAAGCTTGGCACAGAGTTAACGATTCCATTTTCTACGGAAAAATGTCAGGTACAGCTCTTTCGCTCTACGGAGTTTTGCTGTTTCTGAATCTATGCAAGGTACATCAGGTTTGTATTACGATACTGTACTTGCCAAACGATGAGGAAAAAGGTAACATTTTACTAAAGGTTAGCCCATTTCAGACATGGCCAAGTTTAAATACCAAGAAATTTAAATATACAAACTTGTTTGTGCCTAAAAGCAACTCAAGAAGGTGCAGGTAGAGATGAAGGTGAACATCTCAGCATGATGAAATCCTGATGTACGTTGAAATAAGGTAAGCTGTAACCACCGCATCATTAACCTAATTGTGGCAGCCATGCCATCTATCCCACAGGACAGAGCTACATACGTCTAGAGAAAGGGAACAGAAAATAAGTTTGTCAGCATGGAACTCATACACAAGACCACATTAAAACCAAGGTCTCGCGATTCTAGTTTTAAGCACAAGAATGTTTACCGAAGCAAAATGTTTGTCTTGCGTATAGAGTGGAGAAAGATCTGCAAGGGCTTTGACACTCCCTACGCAGGTCAATCATTTATCTGCGCGTAGGGTGTGGTTTCCCAAACTGCGGCAGAAGGGGTGGTGCAACCATCCCTTTGCTCTCAGTCCCGTTTCCCCACTCTGCATCTTGCCCTAGTACCAGCATCCCATAGCTGGATTATCAACTTACCCAGCTGAGGAGAACAGGGTGGTTTGTTTTTTTTTTTCTCCTTTCTGTCTCCTAACTGCACGGCCACACAAGCACAAGTGCTGGTACAAAAAGGGCAGCGGGGGAAAACTTACAGCAACAGTTTAGTCTTGATGTAAGTTGATCAGGAAACCATATCCTTAGATCATAAATTACTACAAAATGAAATACAATAGGAAGTCTATCCTATCCCAGTGTATCAAATTAAGATGGGATTCTTATCAGGGAATCAACTGAACAGTGTTCCCTAATTTTGTTAAATCACCTTTTTAAAGTTTCCAATTCTTGAACCGAGTAAAATGGCTTGGATTTTAACCTATAGAGTTGAGACAGTACTAGCTTTGCAATAAACAATTTAATAGCCGCTGAAGTCAGTTTATCATAAGTACACGTTAAAATGATTAGCTCTGGCACCTGATAAACTATCACAGCAAGTGCTACCCGTACTCATCTGCTGCTTAATATTCATCAGGCACCTTGCTTGGATGACACAACCTAGGATTACCGCAATTCAGCAGTTTAATGACAAGCAGATGAAATTTCTCTCTCCAATTCTGACTTCTGCTGGAAGACTAAAATGATGATGGCCACGCATCAAGGTCTTTGTGGTGCTGCTTGCTGGCAAGGTAAGAGCAAGCCCGCTGAAAGGCCCTGCCTTCATCGCTTGCACAGGACCTCCAGATTTCTGCCCCGCCACGTGTCCCAGGGACTTTATCGATACAACGGATTTACAAAGCCTTGCAAATCTAGGACCCTTCTCGATGTGACTGCATTTAGTTAATCCAACATTGGTTTTAAAACGCATTTTAGAAGCCTCTGTCTTGAACATATTTCAATGCTGAATTAGTGAGAATTATTTGAAACAGTTGTCCATAAAGCAATACAGGTATTCTCCCAGAACGATCAGTGAAACATTTAATCTGACTATAACAAAACTCACAGAAACTGAAGCCAGTGAAGCTGTCAAATGTAGAAGGAAAACAAAGTTGCATGGCATACAAAGCAAAGTAGCTTTACAAATGTAATTTCCTTTTAAAAACAAGCAAACTGGGATCATCCTATTTGAACATGTATTTAAAAATACATCTTTTAACATCACACAATTTTCATTTTTGTCACACAGGAATCTTTTTCCAAGAGGGAAATAAATAGCACACAATACTTCAAAAAAGAAAAATTGCTGCCTTGCCCCTGAGGTGCTAATGTTTTTAGCATTTAAAAAAAAGTTTCTGGTGCAAGAAGGAGATGCACAAAGGTGCAAAAGTGCCTTTTTCTTTTCAGAGCAGTGAAAAGTACAGCTTGCCTCTTTTCTAGGACACTTTACATACTTAATTTGTATATTTTGTAATCAAAATCTGTATCTAAAATGGCAGTGTTTATGCATACATAATAGATTCAGTGCTCTGACCTCATCAAAACGCTGAACATAGGCGGGAGAGAGAAAGGCCTGAAACGGGCTTTCTTCCGCTACCCTCAAACCTAGTTACATCGCCTGTAGCAATAGCAGAATTATTTTTTTTCTAACCTTTAGGAGACCTCGTAAGAAGAGGCTTCAAATATGTAATTTGTCACTGAGATAGTTTAAGTGATCATGGTTTGAAGTATGGCTTTTCACACCACAGTTTTACTTTGATTTTTAAAGTTTAAAACTCAAAGGTTCCACAGTCCAGTTCAAGGTTTTGCAGTTTCCAAAACTAAACTTTAGTCTCTATGAAAAAGGACAGAACTTTATCTGCCTAGTCCTAAATTAAGTTTAGCTTTTGCACTAATCAGCCATGTATTATTAAATATGCTAGTCAATTAGGTGCCTGTGAAGCTATAACTTAACATTATTATAGTTTTGCACTCTACAACAAAATTAGACGTTTTAAGCATTTATTCATAGGTAGGTAAGGAACTGGTTCTTTAAGCAAAAATTGCTATAAATTTATAAATACAAATAGTGCTTATGTTTTCTTCATTCATGCTTGAACAGATTACAAACTGAATACATGTTTAAGCACCCCACATAGACAAGAGGGATAAAAGAAAAGTTTGCTGGTATATACTATACTTAGTTCCAAGACACTATAAGTTACTTTTTCACTGTTCAGTGTTCCCTAACTCTGCATTAGTTTTAAGGCTATATATACAAATATGTATATTTCAAAGTTAGGGAA